ATGTCAGCACCCAAACTGCTTAAACTAGGGTTGAGTAGTCAGCCATTCCACAATATCTTCCAGCAAGAAAAGATTAATAAGGGAAAAGGAGAGGGGAACTGATCTGGTGGTCTAGCAAGAATTCAGTTTACTTTCACAATTTGGTCTGTCACCTTTCTGGGCTGGTAGATAGCCCCTTCAGCCTTCGTGGGAGCCTCTCAACTAATATCAAGTGTTCATGGAAAGGAGTCCATAAGGTCCACTTAGCAAAAAACAAAGTTCATTTTCTGCACTATCAACCCAAAGACTTACTGTTTCCCTCTTTTAATATTATCATCGGAGTCTGAATCATCTACTGTCTCTTTCATCTCTGCCTCTGCTTTCTCTTCTTCCAAATCTTCCTGGTTGAAACCCTGTTAGTAAAGGCAATACAGATCAGTGGGTGGAGTTTATGTTGGGTATTTGATCAAATTTTCCTCTCTCACATAGCATATGCTTTTTTCTTCCAGATCATCTTTACATTATTTTCTAAAGCTAAGCCAACACTTTCTTATCTACATCAGGAATTTTTACAGATATTACTTTCCAAAGAGCAGGACTTCAAATGCCATTTAATTCAAACTGCCTCACTGCATCCAACAAAGACCTGGGGTTTGCCTATACATGGAAGTGCTTCCAGATCAAGGCATCCAGATAAATTTGAAGAGTGGCTTTTCTGAAATAACTCCACATACAGGTAAGCTCTTACGATTCTACCAATTCATCATTCAAAAGTTTACAACATACTTACTGTAAACTCCTCCTCTTCCTCATCACCAGACTCTCCAAATATATCTGCAATAAGGTTCCTGTAAAAGTAGTAGTTTATTTATTATTCTCTTTCATTTGTAGTACATATCTCAACAGCACATGGCAATAGCTCGATCCATATTTGTTGGGAAATTCCTAAAGCAATGATACAAATATCTGAAACATCTGAAAGAACTAGACTGTTCTCCATTTCTTCCCTTAGAATCATAGGAAGTTAGGGCTGGAAGGGACCAACCTCCTGCTCAAAGCAGGACCATCCCCAACTAGATCATCCCAACCAAACATTTGTCCAGCCAGGTCTTAAAAACCTCCAAGGATAGAGTTTCCACTCCCTCTCTGGGTAACGTTCCAGTGTTCTACCTTCCTCCTAGTCAGAAAATTCCTCCTAATATCTAAACTTCTCTTGTTTTAACCTGAGACCGTTGCTCCTTGTCCTGTCATCACTGAGAACAGCCTAGCTCCATCCTCTTTTGAAACCCCCTTCAGGTAGTTGAAGGCTTTTATTAAATCCCCTCAGTCTCCTCTTCTCTAGACTACATAAGCCCAGTTCCCTCAGCCTGTCCCCATAACTCATCTGCCCCAGCCCCCGAACCATTTTTGTTGCCCTCCAATGGACTCTCTTCAATTTGTCCACATCCTTTCTGTAGTGGGGGGCCCAAAACTGAACACAGTATTCCAGACATAGCCTCATCAGTACTGAAGAGAGGGGAATAATCATTTCCCTTGACCTAATGGCACTACACCTACTAATGCAGCCCAGTATGTCATTAGCCTTCTTGGCCACAAGGGCACACTGCTGGCTCATATTCATCTTATTGTCCACTGTAACACACAGGTTCTTTTCTGCAGAACTGCTACCCAGACATTCAGCCCCCAGCCTGCCCTGGTGTATGGGATTGTTCTGCCCTAAGTGCAGGACTTTGCACTTGTCCTTGTTGAACCTCATGAGATTCCTTTTGGCCCAATCCTCCAGCTTGTCTAGGTCTCTCTGAAGCCTAGCCGTATCCTCCAGCATATCTACTACACCCCACACCTTGGTGTCATCTGCAAACCTGCTGAGGGTGCACTCTATGCCATTTTCCAGGTTCCTGACAAAGACACTGAACAAATCCAGCCCCAGGACCACCCCCTGCAGCACTCCACTTGATACCAGCTGTCAACTAGACATTGAGCCATTGATTACTACTCTCTGAGCCCGATGCTCCAAACTGGTTTCTATCCACCTTATAGGCCATTCATCCCTCCTTCCTATGACTCTATTCTTTAGGCCATTAGTCGCTTCACTTCCAAACCACCTATGCTGCACCTTCAGCAGATAGTAATTCCCAGCAAAGGTTGAGTGAAATTGACCTCTGCTCAGTTTTTCTTTACTTTTCGTTGCCCATTGGTGAATATGCTGTGTATAAGGATACTGGAGGCACTCCATGAGATACCAGCTGCCAAATAGCCATCAAGACATTAATTACTACTCTCTGAACCCGATGCTCCAGCTAGTTTTCTATCCGCCTTATAGTCCATTCATTCTTCATCCTCCACCTTATAGGACTTCCTACAATTCTACTCTTCAGGCCATTGTGGACATTCGTATGGTAACTGAAGCTCATCCATTTCCATTCAAGAAAAAAAGTCTCACTATTTATAGCCCCATAGGAATTCATATTTAGGGGCACTTACTCTTGCTCATTCCCTGATTCACTGTCACTCCCAAATAGATCTTTCTCTTCTTTCTTCTTTCCAGCACCGTCCTTTCTCTCCTCCTCCTCCTCATCTTCACTATCTGATGCTACAGCATTCTTCTTTGCTTTACCAGATTTCTCTGATGCATCACTATCAGATTCTTCCACATCTGAGATGATTCGTACTTTCTTTGCAGCTGCCAACAGAAAGCAAATTATTACTGACCAATATAACTGAGGGTCACAAGTCATCCACCCCAATGGCTAACCTGTAGCCAAAAGCCCCAAAATTCAAAATTAAACAAAAAACACACTACAAAAGATGTAGAAATTCATTAGGTCCTTGACAGCAACCTCTTACTTGAAATTAAGTTTCTAGAGTTGATTTGTGTTGATTCCTAACCATATCAGCACTAATGCAAAACATAACATTCACTGTGCTTTTAAATCCTCCTGCATCCTGTAAGACATTTTTTCTAAAAGGAAGTTGTCATTGTAAAATCTAATCAATTGAAGAAGTAAGTTACAACTGTCTCAAATACTATTCCTAGCCCACAGTGTCAAATTTTGTATTTTCAACATTGTCTCTCTCCCATTTGTATTAAAAACTACACAGAATAACACTGACTACAGAGAACCAAAATGAACGCATCTTTAAAACAACATGCTGTCAAACACAGGAAGCAAATACATAGCAAAGAAACTTCTTTTTCTGATCTTTTAGAGTTCAGCTGAACTTAAATGCTACTTTTTAAATGTTAACAATTTAGAAAGAAATGAAATTTTTCTCTTTTCAGTGCAGATATGATCACAGAGCAACCTTGTGGAAGGTCATGTTTATTGTTTCAGCTGCTTAATTTACAAGAAATAAATGTTATTCTAACTTCCATTCTCAGTCTCAGATACTTAGTTTGGAACCTGGAATTCAAGCTGGATTTTTTCTAGCTCATGTATCACCAATAGTAAACATCCTTGTAATGGAAACTTAGTTTTCTTAATGAAGTATAAACCATATTAGACTAACTCATTCTCCTAAAGTTATAAATAACCCTGGTTTAAGGAGTGATTAAATACATCCAGAAACACATATAAAGAGCAAAGGGTTTAGCAAGATGATGCTACAACTATTCCCAGGTAAAACTAGGTTTCCAGGGAGACCCATCCAAAGGTAGGAAGGTCATTACACTGTCAACCTTACTATTTACATAGGATTGCCTTACGTGTTTTCTCATCATCCTCACTGTCAGAAAGGATAGCTGTTTTTCTCTTAACTGACTTCTCCTCCTCTTTCTCTTCTTCATCACTGTCTGCTATTTTCCGTATCTTTGGACCTTCCTCCTCGCTGTCAGAACCATGAAATCTTTCTCCTGCCTGCTCATTATCTGAATGATGAGAGTCATTCTGTGCTTCCTCTGTTCTGTTCTCTCCATCACTGTCAGACTCTATTTTTTGTTTGCGTCTGGGAGCATCCTCATTCTCAGAGTCGCTGACTGGATGCTTTGGGGGCTCCTCATTCTCAGAGTCGCTGGCATGAACTTTTTGAGGTTCCTCATTCTCAGAGTCACTGGCTAGTTGTTTTGGGGGCTCCTCATTCTCAGAGTCACTGGCTAGATGCTTTGGGGGCTCCTCATTCTCAGAGTCGCTGGCTAGATGCTTTGGGGGCTCCTCATTCTCAGAGTCGCTGGCTAGATGCTTTGGGGGCTCCTCATTCTCAGAGTCGCTGGCTAGATGCTTTGGGGGCTCCTCATTCTCAGAGTCGCTGGCTAGATGCTTTGGGGGCTCCTCATTCTCAGAGTCGCTGGCTAGATGCTTTGGGGGCTCCTCATTCTCAGAGTCGCTGGCTAGATGCTTTGGGGGCTCCTCATTCTCAGAGTCGCTGGCTAGATGCTTTGGGGGCTCCTCATTCTCAGAGTCACTGGCTAGATGCTTTGGGGGCTCCTCATTCTCAGAGTCACTGGCTAGGTGCTTTGGGGGCTCCTCATTCTCAGAGTCGCTGGCATGAACTTTTTGAGGTTCCTCATTTTCAGAGTCACTGGCTAGTTGCTTTCGGGGTTCCTCATTTTCAGAGTCACTAGCCAGTTGCTTTTGGGGTTCCTCATTTTCAAAATCACTACTGTGATCTTTGTGAGGTTCTTCATTTTCAGAGTCACTTGCTTGGCGATTTATGGCATCCTCATTTTCAGAGTCACTTTCATGCTGATTTGGATGGTCCTCAATATCAGAATCACTGTCTTTACCCCCGTGAGTCCCTTCATTTTCAGAATCACTGGCATTATGATTTGAGGGCTCCTCATTTTCTGAATCACTGTCTTTTTGCCTTGAGATATCTTCATTTTCAGAGTCTGTCATGTGATGTTCTCTAGTTGGACCATCATCTTCGCCATCACTGTGCTCATTCTGGAAAACAGAAAATCCCAGGCAAAGGTTAGATATATTAAATGGGAGACTCATGTTTTCCAATTCACTTTCCCTTAATTTATTTGTGGGTGTTGCCATCTGAAAACATTTCTTAAACTGAAATAGGAATTGAACTATCTATCTGTTCTATAGGTATAGCTTTCCACAGCATGCTATCAAATGATTCAGAGTAATTCAATATTAAAAAAGTAAAACAACATTAGAATACTAAAACAGGGAGACCTTTGATTTGCTGTTCCATCACAGATTTCAACCAGGACTTTAAAAAAAGAAAAAAAAAAGAAATTTAAGACTACTTTATGGGACCTTATTTTGAGGTCATTGCTCAGCACTTCCTGGCAGGGTGGGGAAAGAGATGGGAAATCAGTTTTATGGTGTTTTAAGCTGGGCTCCGAAAAATCATTTTTTAAAAGTCTGGTTTTAGATAGTCACTTTTCTATGGAATATGTTTCGCATTTAGTTACTGGTATTCTTTGTATTACAGTACATCAAGTATGGAAAAATTGGGGCTTGTGCCCTTTCTTTTAATTATTTTTTAAACCTGCATACTGTGCATCTAGTTTCTCTGTGAAAGACATGTCAAGAAAGAAATGCCACTAATTGAAACAGAAAGCAATTCTTAGTCAAACTATTTTACTAATACATTTTGGTTCACTGGGTAACCAGCATTTTGGATAAAGACATTGTTTTTATAAAAGAGATTCAATACATCAGTCCTTAAAGTTGAGAGTTACTGATACATATTCTTAGACATCTGAAGGTCCACAAACAAAACTAGAGAAGAACAAAGGTGATATTCTTGATGCTTCAGAAGAGAAACAAAATCCTCTTTTTATAAACTAATGCAAATATGCACCTGATCTGTCTAAAAATTCTTTTTTTAAAAAAAGCTAAGTTTTTAGAAAAAGTTTTTCAGATGACTTTTAAATATGAACATGGGTAAGAATGCCTTACGTTTTAATTTATTCTTGTTAGAGAAAGCATCCACTTTTCTGGTAGAGGTAAGTAGTACATTTTCCCTGTAAAAACAATTAGACCTTTCAGTCCTCCATTCCCAGGATTTCCCATTTCAACAACTCAGAGCATCTAAAATTGCTGGCCCAAGCCCTTCCCAAAACATACAGTAAAGTCAAAAGAATGCGACTCCTCTCCTTTGGCACCTCAAAGAATGTGTGTGTGCGCATCATCTCTCTTGCATCCCGAGTCTTCACTTGGCTATACATTTAAATTCCTTTCAGAGGTGGCATTCTTTATCTAGCCTTCTATTCTTTCTATGCCTCTTTTGTTCCCACAGTTCAGAACTAGAGACAGTTTTAATATCAGTTGTTGAGACTTAGCCCATAGGGTCAAAGTGCATTTACACCAGAACCACACTGAACAACACTTCTGATACCTAGTTTTATTTATCATTCCCTTGTATATTCATAAACTTAAAACTCGATTTAAGAACAGATTTCCCCATCATCAAAAGACTTAACAAAAAAAAGAATGTTTAAGGTCTTAAACCTCAGATTTCAGTGATGCTTTAGTCTCTAAATAGCAACCTATAACCTGCTAAGAGCTCCAAACAGGATGAAGCAACAACATGGCACTCAGTGCTACACAACTTTAAAGCATGGCTATCAAATGTATCTTCACTATTTTAATGTTGCTGAATCTCACAAGTGCCATAAAGCAAAACTAATGATCTCCCCAATTGTGGTTCTTTCTCCCGGCAAGGTTTAAGGCTATTTGAAATGCATGATGATCTTAGTATCAGTGTCTTAAGTAACCCCTATTTTTCCTGTTCTATAGACAGCTACTGGAGCTCAGTTAGTGAAAACGGGTAGTAAGAACTGAAACAAAATTATGAAAATAAAAGTTCCTCCTGCAGCTAACAACCAGAAGTCCTGAGACCATCCTGTCAACATCTCCAGCAAGTTTGGTGTTTGCTAATCATAACATTGACTCTATTCCCCTCCACGTTGTGGTTTTTCTCCCACAACATACTGGGAAAATGTACATCTGTAGAGTTGAATGCTGCATTTGATGAGTTTTCTCACTGTATTTAGGAGGAAGATAAGATCAGGAAGAAAGCTGCTTCTAGGAGAGAGGAAGGTAAAAGCCACCTTTGCTTGGTAATGTTATGGCAATTACTGTGAGGAAGCCTACCTTGAGATGGTATGGTTTATAGCCAAGGAGGATTAGAGAACTTTTGATGGACTAGCCCCTGTATCTTTTTCCTAAACTTAAATATTGTTCTTTACATATTTCACTGACCTGCTGATCATGAAAATAAGAAATATTCATGATAGAAGCAGCATGAGACTATGTTGAGAGGGGAAAATCACAGAAAAGGTGGAAATATTAATGGATTACTTCTATTACCATATAACCTGCCAGGACCCTTTTAGAAACCCTTTGGCAAACATGGAATCAGGAAGAAAAATAATTTTATCCCAGACTACATATTAAGAACACTACATTTTGGTTAGACCAGTAGTGCTGGCTGTTGGGTACGGTTTGTCTTCAGGAATACCTACAAACAGCTTGGTAATTTGGAAGGCAGAACACTCTAGAAAGAAATTAGAGAAAAATCACTGGAGGGCAATATTAATAGAATGCCATAGATAAAAATGCAATTGCAGATTGTAGACTCCAGAAATTCTAACACTGTCTGCAAGGAATTGTTAAAGCAGACTGACAGTAAGAGTCAGAAGTAGGATTTGTTTGGTATCTTTTACTGGAACATCATAGTTGGAAGAGATAGTCAAGCTTCCAGACACAAAATGCCCTTCCCTCCAGTCCACAAAAGAAGCAGATGCAGCCTAAGCTAAATACGGGTAGAAGCATCACCATTTGTACCAAACAGTGTTTAACTTAGCCTGCACCTGCTTCTTTCCAAGACCTGACAAATGGTGTTTCATGCCTAACAGCTTGTTAAACATCTTCCACTGTTACTAAGTTGGTCCAGTTAGAGAGAATTAAATATACCGTGCCTCTTGAATTTTTGGCTACAACAATACTACTACAGCAAGAGCCAGGACATTTTTAACAATGAAGAAGAAATACACCCTGTTTGGCCTGTGCAATGTTTGGTGAAAAACTACCTTTAATTTTGTTTGTAGAGTGCATAGCCCCATAGTATCTCAATCCTGACCAAGTTCTCTGGACCCTATTTTAATACAATGCCTATTGAAGACTTACTGAGTAAAAACACTGGGAAAAGCAAAGTAATTATATGGGCTTAAAAAAAAAAAAAGGGCTTTATTTATAAGTATTCTATTAAGAGGTTGCATTATACTTCAAGTATGTAGCAATGGGGTGGGATGGGTTTTTGCAGCAACAAACTTGGGATCTAGACTTTAAGATAACCAGTTTTTACCAGTTCGTCTCTAAATATTTTTCTAAAGTAAATTATGTGACAGTTATGTATTTAACAGCAGATTTTTTCTATTTTTTATTTTCCAAATGCTTAGTTTAAAGAAAAGCTTTTAGGCATCCTCGAAGGCAGGTAGGTCTCAGGTATCTGCCCTCCATCCCTTTTTTCTCTAATTCCTTTGCTCTCTTTTCTTCCTCCTCTTTATCTATAAACTTTTTAAATTAAGATGTCCTTAATTATTTCTTTTAGCTGAACAGAATTCCATAACAGATTTTAGTACAGTAGGATGTAAAATATTTTAAAAGCAAACTTACAGTGTTAACTCTGTATGTAGAAACAGTAATAAATGAAGTTACTGCCTCAATGCACAGCCCCTGGTTAAAGGTAGATGTTTTTCCCACCCCTCCAATAACAGACCAAGACAAGAAGAAAAATGTCTGCTACCTAGCATGATCCCACAAATTGTGACGGTTATATGCAAACGTACATAATCATATCAGATGTTGATGAGGCAAATTATTTTGTTTGTGTTTTTATTTTAAGGGAAATACGAAAAGAATTGTTGTGGTTTCATTAATGGTCTTAGGCACAATGCATGAGGATGGGTCCTCATAACCACACAAAGCCCCAGTGACTTCATTAAGATTCCATATAGGCCTCACTATAAGGTTTGGGCACTAAATTGTACAAACACTGTAAATGTCATTTAATATGCAATACTGTACTAAAACTGTATGTTATCTAATTCTATTTGGCTAAATCAGAGCTGATAAGGACATCATGGAAAATATTTATAGATAAAATGGGATTGGGGGAAGGAAAGCCAGAAAAGAATTGTAGAAAAGAAAAACCCACATACCTGAGACCTACATAAGTAAATCCTCAGGATCCCCCTTTTCTTTAAGTTAAGAACCTGGGAAAAAAAAAGTTTGAAAGTTTAAAAACCTCAGTCTGTTCATTTTTTTAAAAAAAATCTAATTTAGAGACGAAATAGTAATTAAATAGACTTATCTGATAAGGCTGTCTCAAAAGGTTTTATTACCCTTGAATGTCATGCTTCCCACACTTTCCTAAGGATAAAGAAAATAAGATATAAGAAGAGGTAGATCACCAAAAGTCACTCCTTTCAGGAGTACTGCATGTAGCAATTTGAACTACATCCCTAATTACGAGGCTGCAGGAAAAATAATTAAAACTACAGGAAAAATATATTAAGATACATTTGTGATTTTTAATTTTACACAAATATTAGAGCCTCAGCTTTAAAATCTAGCACTGGAGGTCTTGTCCGAAATGAGATGACAGGTATTTTTCTGTGTTCAAAATACAAAGGAATATACAAACAGCCACATTGTGCTTAACTCTTAGGCTGCAGCACACACAAACAAGATCACTTAAGGATGCTGCTGCCTGATGTTACAATGTTTAATGTTATTTAATGACACCGGGTAGCTTAAAAACTGATGATCAGAGTAACAAGAAAGTCTGTTTGCATACTTAAACTGGATCTCAAATTACCTTAATGCAGGGGCGGGCAGTTATTTTGGCTGGAGGGCCGCTTACTGAGTTTTGGCAAGTTATTGAGGGCCACATGACAGGCAGCCGGGGCAGATAAATATTCATTTTCTAAACTTTTTAGGGATCCTGTGGGCCGGATAGAATGGCCTGACAGGTCACATCTGGCCCGTGGGCCGCATTTTGCCCATGCCTGCCTTAACATAATACAAAATGCAAACATCCCACAAGAATATACAGAAGCTGGAATGATTAATTCAATATTCATATACCAGATTAAAAGCTTAATGGCTCTAGTATTATCTTCCCTGCTCACAATGGGAATTTTTTTAGATTATGACAGAAGTGGGAAAAACACACTAGTCAGTCCATAACACATTATCTGCTCTTCATCCAGCACTCACAGGAGCCATCCCTCTCAGAAAACTTGTAATTTTTATTTATGTGTTCCTCCTACACAAGCCCTCAAACTTCCCCCCCTCTATAGAGGTTGAAGGTCTACTTAGACCTAAGCAGCCCACTGGATTAGAGTGGATAAGGTATGCCACTTTCTGTAGCCAAGGGTACACAACTAAGTGATGCCACTAACATTACATCTGGCTACCTGTGACTCTCCAGCTCAAATGAACAAATATCTATTTAAAGCAAGATTGACTAGGGGTTGTTTCTGGCATAAGTGCAAAGCAATTCCTACTTCTGGAGTCAAAGAAAGACTCTTCCGTAAGAATGATGAAGGCATCAATTTCTGAACTGGCTTCTTCTGCAGTAAGCAAACACACCCCCTCCCACACAAGGCATACCAAACTTCATTTTATATTTCAATTCAACTTAAAAAAGATCTGTGCTTCAAATATTAAAGTAGGCATCTGTTCCATTTTCTCTTTTGTACACTGTGGATTTGAATAATATGCAGAAATTAAACACAGTAAATTTTACTGCAGAAACAGACCAGGTTTGCATTCCACACCAGAGTTGAGGAAGTCTTTCAGTCTGTTATAGTGCTATCGTATCATTTAGACAGTTCTTTAACACAGAATTCCCTCACACTGTCCCATCAGGAATGGGGAAAAGGGATAGTGCTGAGCCCATGGAAAACAAGCATGGGAATGTAGGAGATCTACATGCAAGCTCTGTTCCTGCAGCTGCTCTGGATCCTGACAGTGTTTCCCTTCTACGCACATAGCTTCTGCTGTAGCATGCATCTCTCCCATTCCCACACGAGCCAGTCACCTCAACACCCTTTATGGAAGCCCTCCAAAGGAGAAAATAAAGGAGAGAGAACTGGTGACCCAGAGGCACCTGTACTAAACGTTCACATGGATGACTTGTGTTTCACAAGCAAAGATTCTTCGGTGGGTTTCAAGTAATACAATGCAGCTTATTTAAAAAAAAAAAGGGCACTGACAGATAGAAAATCATGATGATGCATACATAACACAGCAAACATCATGCCTCCCCCATAGGATATGGACATACAAAAAAGGGAGTAAGAAGGGATGGGGCAGGAAAAAGTACCACATCATTGGCTCTGTGATAACCATTTCATATGTCTACTCCTACTTCATGGTAGAGTGAGAGCTAAAACAGGGCAACTTACAGCTGAATAAAACAGAACTATACCATAGGACAGGCATAGACAAATTAAACTATTATCATGCAGCAGTCGATACACAATAAATGCACTTCTCTCCCCCACTCCCTTCTGTGAAGCATAACGTATCTATTCAGAGGCTTAAAAATAGATCAGGAGATTTTTGTTATTTATTGTAAAAAACAAAAACAACAAAAACAACAACAACAACAAAACAAAAAACAAAAAACAAAAAAAAAAAAAAAAACCTTTTGACCCTCTACCTTGTATAATTAAATATCAGCACACAAAGCTTTATGGCACTGCTACACACCCCTGAAAACCAGCATTTAAAATACAAAAAGCACATTTACTAAGCCTGTGAGATTCAGAGGAACAGTGATTTGATTCGCCCGAATCTGAGAAGATTCAGCACCGAATATCATTTGGCCATAGACTATACAGGCAGGCAGTGCTGGTGGGAGCAGCCGGGGGAGTCCTGGCCCAAGCCAGCAGCACTGGGAGAAACTGCGGCTCATTTGACTGCTTCCCCACTGGAGCAAGGCAGGTAGTGCTGGCAGCCCCGGGAGAAGCCAAAGGGGCTGGGTGAATGTTTGGGAGATGGGGGCAATCAAACCGGGAGCTGGGGAATCGAACTGGGGGAACAAACAGGTGCTTTCCCCCCAGCTCCCAGTTCGGTTCCTGCTTCGATTCCCCAGCTCCCTCCCCCAGCTCTCCGATCATTCCCCCCAGCCCCCATGGCTTCTCCCAGGGCTGCTGGCTCAAACCATGGCTCATCCAGTGGCTCCCTCGCCAGAGTAAGGCAGGCAATGGGAGAAGCTGTGGGAGCTGGGGGATGAAACTGGGAACTGGGGGGAAGTTCCTGTTCGTTCCCCCAGGCCCTGATCATTCCCCCAGCTCCCAATCATTCCCCCCAGCCCCCGCAGCTTCTCCTGGAGCTGCCAGCACTGCCTGCCTTGCCCTGGCAGGGTGGGGCAGCTGGATGAGCTGCAGTTTGAGTTGGCAGCTCTGGGAGAAGCTGCAGTGGCTAGGGGAAATGATCGGGGAGCTGGGGAATCAAACCAGGAACTGGGGAAATAGAACAGGAATCCATGAACGACTCATACCTCCCAAGGCTGGAGGGACACGGCAACCGCCCGCAGGTGGCAGTGACAGTGTTGGCGATGGCAAGTGGAGACCACCTGCAGGTGACCGTGGCAGCGAGGGGGGTGGCGAGCTGCGACTGCCCACAGATGTCAGCCAGTCTCAGAAGGGGAACATGCCCACCCACAACGCATCACCTACGCCAGGAGCTGGAGAATCGAACTGGGAGCTGGGGGAAAGCCCCTGTTCGTTCCCCCAGTTCCCAGTTCAATCCCCCCAGCCCTTGCGGCTTCTCCTGGGGATGCCAACTCTGCCTGCCTCACCCTAGTGGTGGTGGTGGTGGGGGGCAGCCTGGGGAGCAGCAGGATGAGCTGCAGCTTCTCCCGGGGCCGCCGGCTCCAGCCAGGCTTGTCCGGATGCTCCTGCCTAGTGCCTGCCTGTATAGTCTATGGCTAAATCTTCGAATCGATTCAGAGGCTTCCAATTCAATTTGGATTCAGACATTTGGCTGCTGAATTGGGGAAAATCTCCTCCGAATCGAATCAGCTACCAAAGCTTCACACAGCTCTAATATTTACAGCCACACTAAAAAGTGATATCCACAAAGATAGTTCAGCACGTCATTACAAAAAGCTCATGAAATTTTACTAATCTAAGCCAAAAGAAAAAAAAAATGGAAATCTATTCTTTAATCATGATTATGATAATCACTAAAAAGAAGCACCTTGTAAACAGTGTATTTGCTTTGACCATCTATGCAAGCAAAGTTTTGCAGGGCTGTTTTAAAGTCTGGTTAAACCCAACATTAAGCCAATCTCCATTAAAAGAGTAAAGCCCGCTATCACTCAAAGCCAAACTACAAAGATATGTTTCATTTGATCAAACTAAATATTTCTGTGATACCTCTGAATGATGCTCTATGCTTCCATTGTCTGATCCAGAATGCTGTTCATTTACATCATCTTCAGCCTCAGACCCTGAATCCCGTTCATCCTGAACTGGGGTAGCTCCACCATCATCTGTTCCAAATTAAAGGAAAAAAAAAACATTAAGGCTCAACATCATTTTCTTTATTTAAAATATTTTGACAGTTACGAGGACCAGGGAGTCTATAAGCATGACTCATGAACGGTACCAAAATTAAGATGATGTTAGAATGCATAGTTGAGAGCGAGAGAAAGATTTTAATCTCATTCTCTATATTCTTAGAAATCAGTCATTTTGGATAAATCTCTTCGGTCTACTTCTTCTGACGACAGTCACAGAAGTTAGAAGGCCACAGATGTGCCCATTACTCTTAAGAGACAGCTCACAGAACCGCTTACAAACAAATACTGTGACCATTAGGTTAATATGATAATATTAACACAACATTTGATTACTAAGTTATTATAAAACTGCTGTCCTTAAGACACAAACTTATGCTAATGAAAGTGTCAGAAAAGTGATTCCCAGCCTCTCACATCCACAGCCTGTATTTTCCCCATCTTATCCATCCCAACCCAACATCTTACAACCTACCAGTGCCATGCAAAGTCACAGAGCCTACCTCCTCCTGGTCCACTTGATAAGCAGGCTGTAGACACCTGAGCTAGCTGTGCACACGTAAGCTCCAAAACTGAAGTAATATAGCCACAGCATAGCACCTGGATGAATCTTGGCAGGGCTAATTAGTCTGCCCAACACCATCCAAAGACGGCTCTGCTGCTTCCCATGCCAGGACTACCACATAAAATACAGCTTGGGGCCAACTGACAACCTCCTCATCCCGCAGACTCCACCTCTGCAGCTCCCTGGTTAAGAATCACTGTATTAAAGCATCAGATTGTAACCAAAGCAATAATATGGTTAACTAACAAGCCTACAGAGGCATCAGCCTACAAGCTGGGTTCCAACTACGCTGGGAAAGAGGTGCATTAACACACAGCAGTGCATTTGAAAAGGCTTGGCTGAAATCAATATAAGCTGCAGTTTTATTGTGCCTTAGCTGCACTTGGGTTTTCAAGCACATGAATAGTCAGGTTGCAGAAGCACTCCTTTCTCCCCCTAGCGCAGACATGCCTTCAGAAAGACTCAATAAGATTTTTGTGTCTTGCGTGGCCTTGCCTAGCCAAGAACTTGAGGTATTAGGTTAGTTCAGAAAACACCCTGCCAGTGCTGGGTAACATGCATCAGGAGCCTGGCAAAGATGCAACGCGCTGACTCTGGCAGCACCAACTGGGCCATGCAGACTAGTTTGCTTCAACCAACCCTTGCGCTCACACTGTAGGAAACATCCCTACTGTCAGTCGAGGTATCATCCACATCGTTCTCTGCAACCTGGAGCGGCGGGACCTGCTCCCGGCAGGCGGCCACACCGCGGCCCTGTGTGCTCCGGGGCTCAGGCCCTTCCCGCGCCCCCAGCACAGCCCGCCACAGCGCCAACCGGCGGCCCGCACGCATCGCCCCCCGCCGCGCAGGAAGCGGCTGTTTGATTGGCCAGTAACGGGCTCAGGGAGCAGCACGTCCTTCCCCGACCGCGGCGGGCGGAGGGCAGGTCGCGCGCGGGGCTAGGGACCCTTCGCGCTGCTGCCGCGAACAGGGCAGCGCCTGTCAAGACCCGGACCACTCCCCGCCCCCGCTACCTGACTGGTCCCCGCTGTAGTAGTCGCTCTCCATCGCTGGCCTCCAGGCCCCGCCTCCCCCTCGGGACTCGGCGCTGCGGACGGAGGGGCGGGGCCCCGACTCCGCGGGCTGGTGCCTTGGACGCCGGTTCCGGCCCCGCGCGGACACCCCGAGCGCCCGGCGCTCCCTCCTCCCGGCTTGGCCCGGCCCAAAATGGCGCCTCCCGCGACCCCTCGGAGGCAGCCCCTGCGCATGCGCCAAGCACGCAGCGGGTCAAGGAGCAACGGCTGGGCGCTCTTCTCGCGGCCCAGCGAGATTTCGCGATGCCTCGAAGCAGTGACGTCGCCCTGCTGTTCGGCCTGCGCTCCACGCTAGCTATAGGGGGCGTCGCACGGGCCCTGCCCGCAGAGCAGCAGCACGCAGCATGCGCGGGGCCTGGAGCGTCTCGTGCTGCCCCCAGGAGGGTTATCAGCAGAATCTTGCTTTCCTCTGATTTAAAAAAAAAAATCCCCAATTTTCGGATTTAAAAAAGTAACCCAAAATCCACATTTTTTCTGTAATCAAAATGAGGCCATTAATATATAAATATATAGATAGTGGTGTTTCATTTTAATTATGGAAAAATGTGGATTTTGAGTTACTTTTTTTAATCCGAAAATCGGGGGATTTTTTTATCAGAGAAAACCAGGATTCGTGGTTATGAGTGTCCACTCCTCCCTCCCACATGTGGCCCCCAGGAGGCAGGGAGCCTGGACACCCACCTAGGGTTGAGGTGGCCATGAATGGGCTGCTCAGCACCCATCACTGCTGGTATAACAGCAATTCCTGCTTTCCTGCCCCTCCCCACTCTGTGCTAGGGTTACCATATGTCCAGATTTTCCTGGACATGTCCCCTTTTTAGGCCCCCTGCCCTCATCTCCGGGCGGCTTCGTAAAATCCGAGCAAGCGCCCCAGCTTTTGCTTTGCCTCCGCTTCTCCCAGCCACCAGTAGCTTGGATGCGTGGAGCTGGGAGTAGCGGGCAAGGTGATTGGGTGTCAGGGGTCACGTGCTCTGCGTGTGGGCCCTGTGGGGGGGCGCACGCATGTATGCACGCGGTCTGGCTGTAGCTGCTTGAGCAGCAGGGCGGGGGGAACGGGGCTCTGGGTCGGGAGTGTGGGGCCCCGGCAGCGCTAAGGAGGACAGGGCTGTAGGTCAGGAGTGACGGGCACCAGCAGGGCTGGGGTGGGGCAGGGGCTTAGGAGCGAGGAGCCAAGGCAGGGCACAGGTATATCCCCCTCCGTCTCCCTGCCTCCCATTGGCTCCCCTCCCCCAGGTCCTCTTTTTTGACCCTGGAAAATGGTAACCCTACGCCTGTCCAAGCACTTGCCTAACCCAGTACACAGCCCATGACTGAATGTGTGTCAGGGGCATGACACCCCCAGCAACTCCCAGGTCAGACGCCCGCTGGCATTGGTCAAGAAATAAGCTAAGGGGTAATTAATCTGTAGCCGGGTGGTTCACTGCCTTGCACCAGCTGTCAGGAGCTCTGTCTTCTGCCCTACATGCCTGTGCAAGCTGCTTTGTAATGAACACAGGGCACCAGCATAAACTCACAACCCAAATAATAACCACAGGTTATTAACACATTTCATCTATGCTTGCTGGCTAGTCCTTCATCCACCTCAGGCTCCTCACAGTTACTCAGCAAGATCTAGCCCACAGAGCCCTATCATCCAGCCTGCAGTGCTACACACAGGACTCTGACTCACATGCAGCATGGATGATGACCCCAGCCCCTCACGCTACATGGCATATACAAAGACCATTTGGTGTGGGCTGCCCATGAAGTTGGGGCTGGAGCTGACATATGCTGCACAGCTCCTGAGACCAGTCTGGGGCTTCAGCTGCACGCAGCACCCATGCCAGAATGGCCTTGCTTTATAGATCAAGAGCCAGGCCAGATCACTCCCACAGACCAGCCACGCATGCCAGATCCAACATTCTGGGCCAGGCTGGTGCAGGCGCTGTATGCAGCATGCACCTGCATACCATGTGTAATGCACCCCCAAACAAGCCCCACATGCTGCATGCAGTACATGGGCTAGTCCAAAGTGCCTGCACAGGGTGTCCCTGTAGGCTGCAGCTGGCACATGAGGCCAGTTTGTGGACCCAATCCAGCCCACAGACTGACCAGGCACCCCTCATCAGGCCTGTGGAGCTGGTTGTGTTTGACACCCTTGGTTTAGTGAGTAAAAGGACCGATTTGTCCTACCTGCTGTTCCAGTTCAAATTAGTTCACGCATAGGACTGCTTTTCCAGATGTAAGTTGCAAAATGAACTGAAAATCAGCCTGGACAACCTTGCCTGGAAGAAACAACAAGGACAGAGAGATCTGTTTCTTTTTCAGTGGTTATAAAACACTTTAATATCTGTATACTCCAAATACAATTATGCTGCTCATTGGTGTCATATGCCTACATTACAGCTTTAGGGATGATTAATGATTGCCTATCTTGATGGGTAATTCTAAAACTGAGAGGCTGATGAATACAGGTATTGTATATGGTTGTCCTGAAAATTATGAATAGTAGCCTCCATGCTTACACATGTAAAATAAGACATCTTAATTTTCTTCCGTAGTACAAAAACAAATTAATCTGTGATCACTCAAAAAAAAACCCCAAACCAACAGTTGTTGCGGTATTTTCAGCTGGAATACTTGCACCACATGTTAAGCATTTTTATTTCTCCTCTGCTACCTTGTGTTCCCAGGACAGCACTATTTTATAGGGTCATAGGGCTAGTGGTACTAAAATACTTTTCTTGGCTGCTGGAAGCATTTTAGAATTTATGACAGAGAAGAAACAATAAATTTAATTATTATTAATCACTTTTATTGCAGTAGTGGCAATAGGCTCCATTGTGCTAGGCACTCCAGAGACCATTTTGACCCGAGTAATGCCTCAAAATTTTGTATTTTATGAGTTTTTCACATTAGGGGGCTATATTAGCAATAGAATCAGGCATTACTTGGATATAATTCTATTTATTTACCAAGAGCATACCTTGTCTTGTTTTGTTGAACACAGCAAGAATCAAACAGCAAGAACAGCAGCTTGTCAGATTTTCCTGCAGACAGACAGCACTTAGCCAAGAAGCTCCCAGAGCTTCTCTGTGGGCCTCATTCCAAGTGCTTTTTCAGAGTATGTCCTTTGCTGTTCTGCTTTTTGGTATTGGTTTTGTTTCTTACTGCTCTTCCCCCCCACATCTCTACTAAAACAATATCAGCACAGTCCCTCCACCCTCTGAGTGGCCTTCCATGTGCCTTTACTTTGAATGGTGCCATGTGCCTGTTGTTTTAACAACCTGTTGTATTAGAGGAGCATAACAGCTTGCTATAATATCTTAAATGAAGGGTGGCAGTGACTAGAGTTGCCAACCCTCCAGGATTGCCCTGGAGTCTCCTGGAATTAGATATAAATCTCCAGGAAACTGCTGAGAGTTACCTGGGAGATAAGTGATAGGGCATTCATTAAAATAAATGTTAAATGTTGAATCTGGTTTATACAGTAGTCCAGTGGGTTTTCTAAATGTAAGAGTCATGTGCATTTGCCTTCCTGATGTGAAGTCTATGCACCATAATCCATAACTGATGTATTCAAGTATGCAGGCACATTCATTTTGTCTGTCATGGACACGTTGCCATTCTGGAAACCTCCTGGAATAGATTGAAGTGTTGGCAACCCTAGCAGAGACAGACAAATATAAGTTAGCCTCCCTTTCAAAATATTTGAGCCTTAAAGTTAATGGACAAGTGGGGAGGGACAAATGTAAAGTAGGGAAAAGGGAGAGTGATGTAGTGTGTACCCATGAAAGTGGAATACATCAGACATGCCACAGCTGTATTACAGTCTAAGTTCCAGGCAGGGTTAGCATATGATGGTTACACACATGGCAAGTTATTTGTTTGTAGATACAAACCATATTCTACAACGCCTTCTAGCATGGGTCCAAACTCCACCTAACAGAGACCAGAGAAAAAGTCGAAGTCTTAGACTTGCGCTCATAGCACAAAGACATGTAAATGAATGAAATGCATAGGCAATTAT